AGCTGACACTGTTGGAAAGATTACGTCGACTGGGGCACTGGGGCAACTTTCTGTGCTGCGTTATTTTTACTTCTAAATTTAGCCAAGCTACTTACTGGTCGAAACTTAGTTGACCGACTTCAGGCTTCCGCGATGAACAGGTATGATTAAATTTTTGTTCATGAGATTATTTTTTGTCCCTTTAGTGCTACCTTTTTCTCCATGTTCATTTGATCCTCTCTGAAAACGGTTCCCTTCTACGGTAAACGGCTGCACAATTTTCAGGTGGCTTTGACTGTTTTTTGCCGTTCTTGTGTACTCTCTCTCCTATCTTCCCAGTAGTGATATTTGCGTCTCCAGTGTTCTTTCAGCCTACGATTTTATCGTCCTACGTCACTACTTAAGGCTATCTGATGATCCGCCAGGCTTGCCCTACCAACGAGCAACCTACTGTAGCTCTTATCGCCAGCGGCATTTATGTAGCCACAGATCTTCGCCAGGAATATTCAGTCTATCATTCACACACGTACATGGTACGTTGGAGAGTTGCAAATCGGAAGTGAAGATAGTCCGTACCGAACTGCTGAACTGCATGCATTATGGGACAGTCTGAAGCGCTCACTTGATCCGGGTTTTGAAGGTCTCTGAAGTTCAACGCTGGCATGTGTACCAACCTGAATTCGGCTCACTAGTTTTCAATATTTCTAGTTCCAATCTTATCGTTTATTTGCCTTAACTATGAAGTGCTGCAATGCACATAGGTGCTGCATGCGATATCAGTAAACTTGATTTTGCACTTTAAAGTAATATGCTGAGAGTTTAAAAATTAAAGTTTAAAGTATCAAAAGTTTAAACCTAAAAAATTATTTTGGCACCAGACTGATGGCGTAGCAGCAACGATTAGCACAGTGCCGTGTGCTTCACCAGTGGCACAGCATCACTTAAGCTTATGAAAAGCCGATATCCCAACAGACAATGTTACTTCCATTAATTTTCGATGTTACTTCCATTAAGGCATAGTCCATATTCCTGTCCTAAGATTACCCGAAATTGCCTGAAATCATTAATCAAGAAAAAATTAGTCAGATATTTTAAGTACACGCAGACTTCGTTATCGGGCACATACAACTCTTCTTTTGCCGATCATACGACCGGACGAGAAAAGGGTACGGACGGGCACCGTTGCTAGGTCTTCGGTAAAATTTTAGCCACCTGCCCGTAACGGTATTGCCTTGATCGAACGGTGTGTTGAATCGGTTGTTGCCCGCGTGAAAAAAGCAGCACTGGCTGGTGGGGAACTGAGACCGAATTCTAATATCAGCGATTTGTTTCACGCCTTCTGATGACTGTGTGCGTGGCAACACGGCGATGGTGGCCGAAGATCAGGAGGAAGGCGATGATGATACTTAGCGGTCAAGAACGGAACCGCTATCCTTTCTGAAAGAGGAGACAACGCACTGTTATTATAGCACATTAGATAAGTTTTCCCAAGAATGGAAACTTTTCCTCACTCAGATAGAAAGAACAGGAGATAATTTGTAAGGTCGTGCGGTACCTGAATTCTCGTCAATGAAGTGCCAATACTCTGGGATTGTGAACCTCTGCGGGTGGAAGCGCGCTCTGGCCGATGTTGGTGTTCTGGTAGAACCCAATCTGCCTGATAAAATCATTGAATGGAAACCTGTCAGCAGATGAGTAGCAATCATGCAGCTAAAGTTATAACGTTCTGAATCTTTGACTTTGTCAGAAACCGATGCGCCCAGGTCGAATGGAGGATATGAGTATTTTCTGGAGAATGTCGAAAAGTGTTTTCTCAACGAAGTGTCGACTACGGAATTCAGCATTCTGATTGACTGTTTTAATGAGAATGTCAGAAGATACTGAATAGTGGAAAAGCGTGATTGGAAAGAATGGACCTAGCGACTAAACAGTAACGGCATGAAGTTGCTGCGATTTAGTACAAATAACGGACTGTCCATTATGAACACTTTCGAGCATTAAAGCATACGTCAGTATTCATGCTATAGGGAGGTTTGTGAATAGAAGTCGATGATCGGTATCGTCTGACTTGGGGTTCTCTGTAATAGATGTTTGCGTTAAGAGAAGCACAGAGCTGTAAACTGATCATCACTTTCACTTTATTGTTGACCCCCTCCGCTGTAAAGACCTGCAGTACCATGCAAGACCTCGCAGCAGAAGCAGTCAGAGAATCAAATGAGAAAAATTATCATGTGTAAATGCGAGTGCAAAACTTGCCAGCGACGTCGCACGACTCTTTGATCAGATCCACTTGACGAGTGCTGATGTAAAAACCTAGTGGAAGCACTTTTAAAGCTGCTCACTTGGGCAGTAGCCGAATGTTGCGATTTCAAGCAGGTTGGCTGCCGCCTGGAGGTCAGAAACGAACTTCC